TACTAATATGAAAAGTGAACAACCAACAACAGTGTGATTAGAGGTGACCTTAGAGTGCTTAAAAGAAATAAATTTTAGCAACCATTTGAATATAGTACCTCATTTATTTATTGCTTTACTTATTACCAGGTTGAGAATGCTGGAGGGAATGCTGCATTAGCTTTGATGACGACTGTTGTCTGTAACTTAATGGCAGTATTTACTGTGCCACTGATGATAAAATGGCTCATGTCCTTTGAGGGAGTTAAAATTGACATAGTTAACTTATTGGTGAAACTCATTCTTACAGTCCTGCTCCCTTTGTTGGTAAGAGTTTTTAGATATTGTAATAACTTTTATGTGATGTAGGTGTGATATTATCGTCCAGACGTAAGAAGTTTTGAGGAAGACTGACATAGTTACATCCTGCGTGGAAGTCATCCTCAGAATGAGAAAAAAAAAAACTGTTAAAAAAATATTAAAATATGTTCTAGACAAGCTAAGGGTTCTCAATATCTGACATGATGCTATCCCAAGAGGGRTGGCCAATGGCCCTCTGCAGATTTTCAAAGTATAGCAAGATTGTCTTTAGAGTTTCTAAATTTCCATTCAATTGATGCTAGGATTAGAGGTGCTTCAATAAATTCTTATTATTTTAGATTATCAATGCTTTTTATTTTCTGTTAGGTTGGCAAGGGCATGAGATATATCCCCAAAGTCAAGCCCTTTGTTAAGAAATACAGCATCACGCTTAAGACAATGAGTGTTACCCTGCTGACAGCGATCCCCTGGATGAAAGTGAGCGTCTCAAGTCAGCAAGGAGCCTTTGGTGATGTCTCAGTTGGAAGTGTATTTGCATTATTAGGATGGGGATTGTTTCTGCACTTTGGTTTTATGGTAATGAACCTATTACTTTCTCTGCTCTTCCGCATCGACACACCAGCTCTCAAGTGCATTGTTGTTCTGGCCAGTCAGAAGTCTCTAACTGTTGCTGTGACTATAATGGCACTGCTGCCATTCAGTGGTGTTGAACAGGGAATAATGGCACTGCCAATTGTTATTATACATCTTGGTGTACTAGTTTTAGATGCAGTTATAGTAACTATATGGCATAACTGGGAAATGAAACGGGAAACTAAAAAGGAACTGAATGGGAGAATATATTTGAATGAAATTCCTGATGAAGAATCAGTTGATGATAAAATTTAAAATAACAGTTTATTATCATTTCCAAATGGTTTTCATTTTCTGAGGAAACAGATTATAAAAGCTTGCTGGTGTAATATTATTTAATAATATAATTCTTGATTAATTATAAATATCTATTTCTTTGATTGTGTATTTTTAATTTAATGGATGCATTTATCCATGTGAATATTGATCAAAAAAAATATAGACACTTTTTCAAAGGATGTACTATTTATTCTTTATGATCACATTACATCTTACTTTCAAATAGTATTTTTGGAACCTAAGTATCTAAAAGTAAAGCAATTTTTGTACATGACATGTATTTTCTTTTGTAACCTTTGGTATAATGAGAAAATTGTAATTGGACTGACTGCCCGAGGCAAGCCTCTCAAAGAGAAATCTATATTATATATGTGACCAAATATTATCTTGCCTTAGTCAATGGTGCTCAGCTTAGCTGGTGCTTTTTATAATAAACACGCAGAAGCTAATATTCATTAATTCTATAAATTATTATAATTATTAATCATTATTAGTCTTTATTGCTGCTATCAAGATAAATGTGGCAAACGTCACCAAATTTGTTTCCCCGRAACCTRTTGGTTGTCACATCRAGGTTGATGGCACACTCYGGGTTTTCGTCAGCTTGACTGACACTTCTTACAACACAGACKCCATAGCCACTATTGTTGTGGATACTGTTGTCAATCAGGGTGGCGTCAGGTTTAGTATCAGAGTCTTGTTGAAGCTGCACAGCAGCACTTGAGTTGAAGGCRTCGTCATCATTGTTGTCACCACAGTTGTAGAAGTCACAGTTTTCTATGTATACTTTGCCTTCAGGTTGGGCTGTGACTCCTGTTGACTGGATGAAAATTTTTAAGTTATTACACAGGCAGCCCAACCATTTGTACTGTTAAATGGCCARCTTTCAATATTTTGATTAAAAAAMYACKCACAAGGGAATTSAAGCTGAGGCTCCTGGGGAACAATAGACAATTCTTTTGTTTTCTCAGGATCTTTGTCCTCAATTGTTTTATAAATATAAATTACCGGTACCTCAGAAACTCTTAAATATATCATCAGGCATTGTTATTTTTCAACTAAACTAAGGCAAGCTAACCTTYGCATCATAAAGTTTGCACTTTCTCATGACCAAATGTCCACGTTTCATGACAGAAACACCTGTGATCCCACAATTCAGCTGACAGTCCTCCAAGGTAGTCTGACCTTTGTGGACCACTAGCATCCCTCTTGGACCACCTTCTCCTTCTTGTTCAAACATGATATTCTTAAACAGTATTCCTGAAGACTGGCAGTTGATGGAAAAGTCTTCACTGTCTTGACAKGACACTAKTAAAACAGTAGWTGGATRATAAGAGTGGGATYCCTGTGKYATTCTAATGGCCAAGYAGTGGACTCRTGGRTCAATGTCTTCCTTGGTCATTTGATGAAYACAGGAAACATACTCACCAGATATCCTATTAGAATCCCCAATACCAAGTATCTGGACAGGTTCAGCCAGGTTTACTGCGTCCTCCAAGTAATATGTTCCTGGGTAAATGTGGATTGTATCTCCAAGAAAGTAAGACTCTAGAGCAGTGCTGAGATCATGGTAATGCTCAACTGTTGTATTATCTGAGAGTAACAATGACAAAGGCACATGTTGCTTTACTATTGGAGNTACCTCATTTATTTATTGCTTTACTTATTACCAGGTTGAGAATGCTGGAGGGAATGCTGCATTAGCTTTGATGACGACTGTTGTCTGTAACTTAATGGCAGTATTTACTGTGCCACTGATGATAAAATGGCTCATGTCCTTTGAGGGAGTTAAAATTGACATAGTTAACTTATTGGTGAAACTCATTCTTACAGTCCTGCTCCCTTTGTTGGTAAGAGTTTTTAGATATTGTAATAACTTTTATGTGATGTAGGTGTGATATTATCGTCCAGACGTAAGAAGTTTTGAGGAAGACTGACATAGTTACATCCTGCGTGGAAGTCATCCTCAGAATGAGAAAAAAAAAAACTGTTAAAAAAATATTAAAATATGTTCTAGACAAGCTAAGGGTTCTCAATATCTGACATGATGCTATCCCAAGAGGGRTGGCCAATGGCCCTCTGCAGATTTTCAAAGTATAGCAAGATTGTCTTTAGAGTTTCTAAATTTCCATTCAATTGATGCTAGGATTAGAGGTGCTTCAATAAATTCTTATTATTTTAGATTATCAATGCTTTTTATTTTCTGTTAGGTTGGCAAGGGCATGAGATATATCCCCAAAGTCAAGCCCTTTGTTAAGAAATACAGCATCACGCTTAAGACAATGAGTGTTACCCTGCTGACAGCGATCCCCTGGATGAAAGTGAGCGTCTCAAGTCAGCAAGGAGCCTTTGGTGATGTCTCAGTTGGAAGTGTATTTGCATTATTAGGATGGGGATTGTTTCTGCACTTTGGTTTTATGGTAATGAACCTATTACTTTCTCTGCTCTTCCGCATCGACACACCAGCTCTCAAGTGCATTGTTGTTCTGGCCAGTCAGAAGTCTCTAACTGTTGCTGTGACTATAATGGCACTGCTGCCATTCAGTGGTGTTGAACAGGGAATAATGGCACTGCCAATTGTTATTATACATCTTGGTGTACTAGTTTTAGATGCAGTTATAGTAACTATATGGCATAACTGGGAAATGAAACGGGAAACTAAAAAGGAACTGAATGGGAGAATATATTTGAATGAAATTCCTGATGAAGAATCAGTTGATGATAAAATTTAAAATAACAGTTTATTATCATTTCCAAATGGTTTTCATTTTCTGAGGAAACAGATTATAAAAGCTTGCTGGTGTAATATTATTTAATAWTATAATTCTTGATTAATTATAAATATCTATTTCTTTGATTGTGTATTTTTAATTTAATGGATGCATTTATCCATGTGAATATTGATCAAAAAAAATATAGACACTTTTTCAAAGGATGTACTATTTATTCTTTATGATCACATTACATCTTACTTTCAAATAGTATTTTTGGAACCTAAGTATCTAAAAGTAAAGCAATTTTTGTACATGACATGTATTTTCTTTTRTAACCTTTGGTATAATGAGAAAATTGTAATTGGACTGACTGCCCGAGGCAAGCCTCTCAAAGAGAAATCTATATTATATATGTGACCAAATATTATCTTGCCTTAGTCAATGGTGCTCAGCTTAGCTGGTGCTTTTTATAATAAACACGCAGAAGCTAATATTCATTAATTCTATAAATTATTATAATTATTAATCATTATTAGTCTTTATTGCTGCTATCAAGATAAATGTGGCAAACGTCACCAAATTTGTTTCCCCGRAACCTRTTGGTTGTCACATCRAGGTTGATGGCACACTCYGGGTTTTCGTCAGCTTGACTGACACTTCTTACAACACAGACKCCATAGCCACTATTGTTGTGGATACTGTTGTCAATCAGGGTGGCGTCAGGTTTAGTATCAGAGTCTTGTTGAAGCTGCACAGCAGCACTTGAGTTGAAGGCRTCGTCATCATTGTTGTCACCACAGTTGTAGAAGTCACAGTTTTCTATGTATACTTTGCCTTCAGGTTGGGCTGTGACTCCTGTTGACTGGATGAAAATTTTTAAGTTATTACACAGGCAGCCCAACCATTTGTACTGTTAAATGGCCARCTTTCAATATTTTGATTAAAAAAMYACKCACAAGGGAATTSAAGCTGAGGCTCCTGGGGAACAATAGACAATTCTTTTGTTTTCTCAGGATCTTTGTCCTCAATTGTTTTATAAATATAAATTACCGGTACCTCAGAAACTCTTAAATATATCATCAGGCATTGTTATTTTTCAACTAAACTAAGGCAAGCTAACCTTYGCATCATAAAGTTTGCACTTTCTCATGACCAAATGTCCACGTTTCATGACAGAAACACCTGTGATCCCACAATTCAGCTGACAGTCCTCCAAGGTAGTCTGACCTTTGTGGACCACTAGCATCCCTCTTGGACCACCTTCTCCTTCTTGTTCAAACATGATATTCTTAAACAGTATTCCTGAAGACTGGCAGTTGATGGAAAAGTCTTCACTGTCTTGACAKGACACTAKTAAAACAGTAGWTGGATRATAAGAGTGGGATYCCTGTGKYATTCTAATGGCCAAGYAGTGGACTCRTGGRTCAATGTCTTCCTTGGTCATTTGATGAAYACAGGAAACATACTCACCAGATATCCTATTAGAATCCCCAATACCAAGTATCTGGACAGGTTCAGCCAGGTTTACTGCGTCCTCCAAGTAATATGTTCCTGGGTAAATGTGGATTGTATCTCCAAGAAAGTAAGACTCTAGAGCAGTGCTGAGATCATGGTAATGCTCAACTGTTGTATTATCTGAGAGTGACAATGACAAAGGTACAATTTTGCCTTACTATTGGAGGCCTTATCTTTAGATTTGAGTGGGGATAAAATTGCAATTTGTCCAGATAAATGCAGTGATGACTGGATGGTTTTCCAACTAAATTATGATCCTTATTATACTATTTGTTTCAAATTTATAATAGACATAATATTGATTTTTGGTTCTGCTGCAAATTTACGCATTTTAGGGTTCATTTATTTGTCTGTGCAGCTCATCACTGAGGCATTGTGTCAGGCTCTCCCATCTCTACTTCTCCCCATTCCCTTTTCCAACTTCCAMCACCGAGTGGGCCTGATACCTGAAAGATTCTTGACCATGTAAGCCATCAGCTTCTTTGCTACAATCAGAGTGCAAGGTTCTGCATCAGATCTTGGTCCCCTTGGCTTCGTCAAAGCTGCCTTTGCACCAGGTGACACTGCAGCCAATAGGTACCTCATTTGAGGATTCTCCATCATTTGAAGAGAATGAACGAGTGTGTTACACTCTTCATTTTTCAGGGCACATTTTAGTACATCAAGGTCATCCAACTCTTGTTCAGAATCACTAGTCGCCATCTGGTCTCTCAGCTTTTCTAATTCGAGTAATTTGTTCTTGTAYTCTGCATAGTTGTCTAAAAACATACAAAATTTAATACAATAGATGGTAAATCACGTTTTTTTTTTCTAAATCATAAATACCTTGGTATTTTCTAATGAGCTCTTTGGGTAGAAGTCCATCTCTGATGTCATAAAACAGCCGTAGTCGTTGCTCAAGATAAAGGGAGGTATAGCTACACCCACTGTCGTCGTCCTCATCCCATTCCCGCCACACATTCTCATAAAAGAACCTAATTGACAAAATACAAGAGTCATATTTCATGCAGTTTACTTCCAAAAAAAGCTAACTGAGGCCTCTGAAATGGAAAGAGKACTAAAGTGAATCAGGTGGGGGGTAGGGGTGGGGGTTATTTATCTTTCCATCCACTTKTAGAAATGTGAATATACCTGACATGCTCAATTGCTAAAGCAGTGTCRTCGTTCTCTCCCGAGGCGTCATACACAGGATAGATCTCTGTCAGTGGCACTGCATTCCCATTTTGCATCAGAATTTCTTCAATGACTTTTGCTGGGAGTTGTGGTTCAATGACAAGTGGCTCACAAACAGCAATGTCTGCAGTAAGTTTATCTACATTTATGTCACTGACCTATAAATGAAATGCAATAATCAAAAAGCTTCGACAGTGAACCCTTTAACTTAAACGAGCTCACTACGATTGTACAAAATATTAGACATTGACATTTAAAAAATATCGACATTGATTTCTGGAGCATAAAGAGGCTTGATGATCTAGTCCGATCTCAATCTCTATAAAAATACATTTGCGATATATTGGGCATTCAAATATTAAGTATTAAATTAGATAAAGCACCAACCTCCACAACCACATCGAAGTGCTGCAGTTTGTCCTTGACGTTTTTGCTTCTCCAAATCGCCTTCCAACTGCCCGGCTCAATTTGTAAGGCAACATATTTCTTGATCTGTACGGAGACTTGATCTGCGCTACAGTCACCAAGAATTTTGGACTGATAWGCCCAATACCTGTCTTCATACGACAGATTTTCTGTCTGAAAGACCATCGGTAGGATATTGTTGTTGTTGGATGACATATTGAATTTTGCCGCCTTCTCGAATTCGCACGGTAATAGGACTGGAGCCCACAATTGGCACAGGAAGCCCACTCGGACAGCGAATACGTACTATTCACTTATATGGTCTTATATTATTTTAGCAMTTTTTTTCTGGATATTGCGAACGTTTTCCAGGAATATTGTATCAGGAAAAGTATTCTGAATGAATCATAGAGGATAAGTATCAAGGAAGAAACAAGAGGAAAAAGATATAGGTCAAAAATGGGACGGAAGGAAATGGATGACCAAATGAATGAGAACTTCATCTTTGCTTGGGTAGTGATGAAACACATATGGTATTTCTGTTACATTAAAAGGGGGATTGGGAAGGATGCCAAAGGAGATTGAAGAGAAGAAAGAGACAATTCCTCTTCCCATTCACTTTAGGCCTACTCCTCATTCCCGTAATGGCCGCTCCACAAACATCAACTTAAGAGTTTCTGCATCTTTATTTGAATTTCATAATATTGTTCATGATTACTTTTGTACATATTTATGATGTATTGATCATTTTTAAATATATAACACCGAATACTGACGTAACAAACCACGACGAGCAAATCCACCACAATATATAAGAGAATATTGCTTGGAACAACTCTGGTAATAACAGACCTCGCAAGCTTAATGCAGCTTCGCGAGTTGAATTAGATATAAGTGTTGAATAGTGTGTTGATCCAGCCTCTGGTAATGACGGCCAGTCAGAAAATTCTACAAAACAAAAACAACAAAAATGGTGCATTAATGAAAACGGTAAGACTATAACCACCACAAATAAGATGTGCTTTTACCTATCATCCTCACTATTAAAGCAGTAAAAAGGATGAAAACAGTGGGTGCAAGATACTGCAACGTCGCTGAAGATAAATAATAAAATACACTAGCAACCTAGAATAAAAGAAAAGAAAATTTAATATCACACTTSTGCATTCTTACCAAACACAAATGATTGACAAGACAGACAATTTTATTAAAACAAACTCTTCCTTTCATACCTTCCTTTGTAAGTCTAAGTTTGTTATTCTTCCTGTTTCTCTCTTTAACTTCTGCATTCTTTCCTGTGCCATGTTTAGGTAAGACTGAAGATGCACCCAGGTGAGACTGAGTCGTAAAATACAGAACAGCAAAACCGCACAAATACGAACAAAATTAAAGCTGGACTCACTTATCCTTGAAAACAACAAAATAAAGAAATTATCAATGACTGTACAGATATTCCTGTAAAGATGGTTTCATGAGAGATGATAAACAACATCAAGGTTGAATAGAGACTAAATCAAGAAACAACAGACCTAAAGCACAGCATAGTGAAAGAAAATCAATGTAGTTCTTCTACACTCATACAAAACTWAAGTCTAACAAAATCATAAGTACATGTACATACAAAGGTTGCAACTTGTCTGAGCCATGCCAGTGCCCTGATACAATTGGTGTCTTGACAATTGGTGTAATCCAGGAAAGAACCAGAACAAGTGGCATCAGAAAATTTACATGAAGAAGGACACTAAAAACAAGAATGAATGAAAGAATATAAATGAATGGAAGGGGAATATAAAGGAATGAGGGTGAATGCAATTGTCATGAGTGGTATTYGGAGATAAACATGGCAACTTACATCATGTATCTAGTCTCTTTACAGTAGTACAGTGAGTCCAGGTACATGTTGGCAACTCGCATTCCAGGAAAACTCATAAACGAACCAATAAAGGCAGATAGAAAGGCAAGACAGAACTTGAAAACCCAGATAGGTGCTGCCTCACTGAGAAAACAAAATATTATAATCAATACAAAGTAGACATTATATGAGAAAAATACTGAGTGCTCTTGAATAGCCTCTGTCGACGCTCCGTCGTAGCCTCTCCGTTTGTTGGACTTCCTGTCCCTTTCAAAAGAAGAAAGCTTGACAAAAGGAGGATTAGTCGGCCAATCCTTTTGGATCAGTTTTCAACAGAGTAAATAAGAGTTTGATTGACAAAAGTCTGTTAGACTTAGAATTAATCTGTTGTTGACTTAAAATTGATGCAACTTACYGTTTAGAAAAACCCTGTTTATGTAGAAAGTCTGCAGCTTTTTTGGAAAACAAATCATAGCCAGAATCCAGTCCAAAGTCCARCACTGTTTCATCAATAATCAACACTACCATAGCAACAACAAAGAAAAAGAAACCAAATGTCAAGCAAATAGACCGTTCTCCACTGTCCTCTCCTCGCCAATACGCTGCTGTAAGTAGAAATAACACTTTTCTAATATTACAGTCAAGGATTTGGCATGTTCTTTATGGTTTTAGTAAAGCTAACATAGAATAAGTCAAGCAAAGCCTTGTACAGGCATTTTCAACCAAAATTCATTTGGCATATAATAATGTCCCTGAAATATTATCTAAATTGTTTCTACYTAACATTTCTTATCTAAGGACTCTAAGTTACAAAATAACAATACAATTGTATTTTGAATTCATAGATTCTGTTTKATAAAGTTATGGATACAGTGAGAACATTATGACTAGTAGATTCCAMAGCAGTCCAAGATTGAATTCCTGTGACAAGATGGCAGGGAAAAAGAAGGCAAACACTTCTATTGCAATATTTAACATAAGCGCAGTGAAGGCAAAGTCTATCAGCCATTTGTATTCACTGTACAGGAACTGTGTCACCACATCACACTCTTTTAACTGAAACAAATAAAAAAAAACAACAAGGTTTATACATCATTCCTGATTAAATATAATAAAGTTTTTTTATAGACCAATGTTTACATGTAATTGTGCAGACTTTTTATGCCAATAACACAGCTGTCATTTGTGAAATTTCTCCTACCTGGGCTTTCTCAAGCTCAATATCAAGGCTGCATTTTATAGTAAACGTATTACTGTCTTTAGATGGACCAGAAACACTTTTCCTGTAAATAATAATTTAACTTAATATCTTGAGTCTGAAGGGTAAACACTTTAAATTAACGGTGAAACTTGAATACTAAGAAATAGGTGTTAAATCATACTAATTCCATTGTTTCCTTTTTCTTACATATATTATTTAGKAGTTATTAGTAATATTTGTTTCACAGATTTAGTATAAGCATTCGTATCTCTGCTGAAAGATTGATTTCTTGGCTAGTTGTTGAATATGGACGGTTATAGCATGTGTTTTAGGTTGTTATGGTAATTTGATGATTGCACTGGATTACCTGGCTTCATTGTTGGTTGTTTTCTTCCTTCCTCCCTTTGAATGAGCTGGTTTTCCAGCTAATGCTCTCAGCTGCTCATCACTGGGATGCAAATACCTGATTAACCTAAATACCCAAGTTATCATTTAAAATAAAGTTATATATTCTTTTGGGTATTTCAAATCAATTATCAAGAAAAAGCACCTCAAAATTATGGATCAATAACGGCCGATCAGCAATATTAAGCTAAAATTTATTAAAAACAGATGTTTCGGGTCTAATCCAATAATAATTTTGATTTTCATTCATGAACAGCAAAATATACAGATGTTATTCATTGCAGTTTGATGTTAACCTAAGATTTGAATCGATACACTTCCATCTGATAGCGACTTTCTTAATATCCAGAGAAGAAGATGTACAGTTTGACGCACTTACCATCCGTTGCATAGAATCCACCTTGCCGGCGAAATATAAGGCGAAAGCTTTTGTAAAAACATGGCCATGGTACAACTCAAAACAAATTGGATCCCAAATAATGCCTTCAAAGAAAACAATCAATAAATTAGATCAAAAACATCACTAAAAAGGACGGGTTATTTGGAAATGCGAAATACCATCTTTTTGCGTCTCTCCACTTTGAAACAGAATAAAGCAGGCGTTCCTCGGGTAAATAAGCCTGGGTACAAACCAAAGGCATCCCAGAATAGACCACATTTTTGATAGCTCACAGTTCGATCAAAAATAACGCATTTCACAGTAATTTAGATCAGAAAAACATAGTCGTCCCTATATTAAGAGCTAGGATTGGAATTATTCGTTTTTGTATCCTTCCCACGCCGCGCATTGTTCGTACTTTCGTACAGTCAGTCTATCTTTTTTCCGTTTCCTATCTCTTTTTGTAAAATATGATGAAATAGTGAATGTTCATTTGTCAAATTTGATAGGTACATATTTAGAAAACATGTCTAATTTTAACCGCACGAGAGTGCCAAAAGTCTRGGAGCTTCCTGTTTKGGSCCCCCMAAAMCRKKSCC